TAGAGCAAATTCATCCCAACGGGAGTCGGTTTGGGATTCCCATTCTGGCCGAACACTGATTCGATTCCTCCGAGTTGATAGCTTGGAGGATGAGATGGGCAGACCCTTGGATACAGATCTCCGCCGCCGCGCAGTTGCGGCGGTGGAAGCTGGGCTTTCGACCGGTCAGGCGGCGAAGCGGTTTTCGGTGAGCAAGGCGGCGGTTGGTGCCTGGGTTCGGCTGAAGCGTGCGACGGGCGATGTGTTGCCCAAGCCGCAGGGGTCTGGCTTCGGGTCGGTGCTCGATCCGCATGCGGACTTCATCCTCGCCCTGATCGAGGCCGACAAGGACATCACGCTTGTCGAGATCGCCGACCAGCTGGCAAGCGAACGCGGCCTGCGCGTCGTGCCCGCCACCATCTGGTACTGGCTCGACCGGCGCGCGATCACCTTCAAAAAAAACCGCACACGCCAGCGAGCAGCAGCGTCCCGACGTGCGGCGTAGGCGTGAGGCCTGGTTCGAGGCTCAGCCTGATCTCGATCCTGAGAAACTGGTCTTCATTGACGAGACCGGCGCCTCGACCAAGATGGCGCGCCTCTATGGCCGGGCGGCGAAGGGTGAGCGGTGCCGGGCACCGGTTCCCCATGGCCACTGGAAGACAACCACGTTCACCGGCGCGCTCCGCCTGTCGGGCATGACCGCGCCCATGGTCCTCGACGGACCAATGAACGGCGCGGCCTTCCTGGCCTATGTCGAGCAGGTCCTGGTCCCGACACTCTCGCCCGGCGACACCGTCATCATGGACAATCTGCCAGCTCACAAGCCGACCGCGATACGCCAGGCCATAGAAGCGGCGGGGGCGCAGCTGCTCTACCTGCCGCCCTACAGCCCCGACTTCAACCCGATCGAAAATGCCTTCTCCAAAATGAAAGCCTTCCTGCGCAGAGCCGCGGCCCGAACAGTTGACGACCTTTGGCAGAGCATCGCCGACGCTCTCGACACCTTCTCACCAGACGAGTGCCAAAACTACTTCGAAGCATGCGGATACGACTGCGAATGAGATGAATCCGCTCTTACACTATGGTTTAGGGCGGTTTTGGGCCGATCGGCTGACCCACGTCGTGGTTCCACTCGATCGGAAAC